TGTGCTCAGCAGTGCCTGTGCATTTCCAGCTCCTTTACAGATTTTGCCCTGATAAACGCCTCATGACCAACTCTCTTAACACACAGGGAAAAAAGCCAACATACATCTCCGTCAGCTCTGTAGGCTGTGCAGGGCTAACACATGTAATAAGTCAGTTTTCACCGTGAACAGAGTGATTCTTTGCAACAAGAGACATCACTTTCCAAGGTTATGCCTTCCCTTATAGTTTCTTCCTCCTCCAATCTCTCCACTAAGTTCTTCTGGCTCTTCCTCCTCCTTCACCACTCTGACAAGCCCTGTCCAGTATCCACCTCCGGTACCAACCCTGCCTTTGCTATCTCCAGCCTGGGTATCTATCTCAAGACATCTTGGAGGAAGGAGTCCCTCTGAAAACACTAGCCTGTGCCAGAATTGCCCTACCGCCGCATCTGCAGGTCTACTTTGCCCCTTCCTAAATGCTTCTGCAGTTACCTCCTAAACTTCAACAGCCAGTCAGCCGCACTTTCAAATCTTCTTCCAAGTTATCTATTTTCTTCTCCTACTGTTATCTTCCTTCCCCACGCATGATGCATGTCGGATCAGTTTTCCCCCTTATGTGGGCTGATTTTGTAGTCTGTGCATCATTTTATTAGTCTCAGAAAGCTCTTATGCACCTTTTGCCATGAAAAGTAGTACACACTCAAAATGGGTCACACTAATACATAAATCTTTGCTCTTTGTAACGTGAGTAATGTCAGGTTAAAAACATTCACTACAGAGATACGAACAGCTTATTACATCCAAATTCAAGCTACACAAAGGAATCTGAAATGGTACATCCATTCAACATCACAAGAGTTAGAGAGTATGTCTGCTTCACCGTGTTGCAACTAATGATTAATAAATGAGTCTATTACGTTAATCTGCCAGGCAAAACTAAGCTTGACAGACACCTGCCACAGGAAATTTGTTATCTATTCAGGCAGGAAATGGCAGTGAGAAGAAATCAATGTCACTGCTGTACATTGAGCTGACAAACTGAAATCTCAGAGGAAGTTTGTCATCTTGAACAATGAGCAATATCCCTGGTGGCATCTCAGAGCCCCACAAAAAAGGTCAGACATGGCTCTTATTTATCAGGGCCTTGAAACTCTAGTGTAGCAATTAAATTTTGTTTTTAATACTGGGTGAAAAAGTCCAGCTATTTGACAGTAATGTGTGGTAATATATTTATGAGAAGATAAATATATCCACATGCTGCTGCATCATTGTTGAATTGGAGTTAAACGGCATGATTTCTTTGCAATGTAAAATGAAAAGCAACATAATCTTCTATTATCTAGGCCAAAAAATAGAAAAAAAAAAAAAAGAAACAATACCCACTACATTTGCTTCAAATTTGTTAAAAGAGAGAAAAGGAAACGCTCTGTATCCAGCTGCACACCAAACAAAACAAGCTTTCAAATACAGTCTCCAAGTTTTGCTTTTTTATACGCGCGAATGAGTGGTAAAATTATGCAGCTGTTAATAAGACAACAAGGGAAGCTTTTGACATAAACCCCTTTTTATCTCCTAGCTAGAAGCATTTCAATCAAAGAGGCAATTTGTTCACGACTGCTGTTTGATTTTCAGTGTTAGTGGTGTTTGCTTTCTGCGTCCCACTCAGCAGGGACCAGAACTGGATGGGGATTATCGGTTTCACTTTTTCCCGTGCGTCCCACGAGATGCTGCAATGCGCAGGCTACCAAAATGCCTGGGAAGATTTCAGATGTATGTTAGTGGGATCTGCACAGCCGCTGGGCTCCCTCCTCTCTAAGATGCCTGCAGGATAAGGGCCTAAACATTCAGAAGTCACACTTTAATGGAGTTTGAAAACTTGCAAAAACCAAACAAACTAGGAACCACCACCAACAAAAACAAGCAGCGCAGCACCTTTGCCTGCACTAAGATCCTAATGAGATGTCCTCTATTTCTTACAGTCATCTATTGGAGCCTGTTTGACAACATCCAGACTCAAAAACAAAACCCACACAAGCAATTTCATGGGTACTGGAATGAAAGGGAGTCTAGCTTCCTGCGGATTTGGTTTTTGTCATCAGATTATCTGAAGCCAAATAATTTCCAAACCGGGTTCAGCGATCTTCCCGCAACAGGAACCTCCATCACATTTCCTCTCGGCATCTATTCCACAGCCCCTGTTGAAAGTTCAGTTCCTATTGCAAGCCTTCCCCCAAACCCCTTAATAGCCTTTATTCCCCTCTTACACACATATTTTCAAGAAACTTATAGGAACTTCTATTTATCTTTGCAGCCTCTGCCTTTCCACCACATTGCCATGGCCAACATGTCCAAGGGCTGCGCAGGCTGCTGTGTGTTCATGTGTGCATACACCCTTGTTTCCCTAAGAGACCAGACTAAACAGCCCACACCCAAAAGTAGCATTAATATATGCAAAAAGAAATAGCTTTGCAAGGGTAACTCATCCAACCATGAAAAAGCCTTTAGATCGCTTATTGCCCTTTATTCCTCTACCACGACAGACACGACAAAATCTCGCAGTCTGGGGACACTTCTTAATTTGAAGATTTACAGCATTTCATTCCTTTTCATATTTTGCTTTTTAAAAGAAAAGTTCTTCAGCAATGAACAGAATCACACCCTGCCAGGCAGCAATATTTATGCCTGAAATAGGCTAAGGCAACAATAAAAATGTGGTCCACACATGTGGGTAACTTTTTGCCAGCAAATATGAAACCCTGGCGAGCTCCACCAACCTCTCATTTGACATTAATATAAAATAGACAGAGAGTACCAGTTCTCATGTCTGGCCTAATGTTATATAACTGTGCTGCTTGTTCAACAGAGTCAACTCTTACACCAAAAAAAAAAGTTTAAAGCCCCCAGACAGCTGTAAATCATTATTCTAAAATGTTTTATAGGTTAGTGAAATTATCATTTACTCTGGTCCCTGTAGCCCTTAGCACCTGATGCCTAACTTAATGTAATGAACATTGCAGATTCTTATTTCTACAGATCTACTTAATTCCCCTGACACAGAAGGATTTGAAAAGATTATTTTTAATAAGTTACTTCTAGAAATAGTTGCACCTCACAGCCAGAGCAACAGATACACACACATCTCACTTCTAAAAAGAATACCAACTTGCAAGTACTGAAGAGTGATGACAGAGCAAAGTCCTCCCACCAAATACTGTTTAATTAAATAAAAGAAATTTAAGGAGGAGCTTAATAATACTCTTTGTAACTACAACACAACATTTTAAAGTAACTCAGAATTCACCCATTGAATATCTGATGCTAAATTGCAAGCCGACATTGTGCTGAAGGAAACACAGCAGCCAGGGAGCAAGGAGAACATGCTGAAGGAGTGGCAAAGAAGGGGGGAAGAACCAAAAAAAATTAAAAAAAAACCCCAACTCATCAGCCTCTTCAGAACTGGGATTCCCTTCCAAATATGAGAATTCTTTCACACAAAGAGGAAACAGATGTCCATGGCTGGAATCTGCATGTGGCTTTATTCTCTTCTAGGATACAATAAAACTACTCTTCTTCTCATCCTCCAAGCTAGAAATTAAACAGTGGCATGTCATGCATAGTCCAGCTGTGCTTTCTACCTCCAACCTTTATTAGCAATATATTTAAAAAGAAGAAGAAAAGAGAGAGACAGAAAGAAAGGGAGAAACTAGAAAAGCATAAGAAATTAAAAACTATGTGGTATGTGTTCTCAAAACAATATAAAACCTACAGATGTTCTTACTAATCTGTGGCACATGTTTGTTTATTCAGGTTTTCTCTGTCTCCAGTTCAGCGGGCTTTGCTCTCCGGAAGAGCTATCTGTTTTTACAAACGTTAGAGTAAATACTGAAGGAGAGATTGGCATAAACAGCCAGACGAGGAAACAGGCTCACCTTGTAAGAGCTTTCTCAATGTCCCTGAAACTGTACCTCTGTCCCAGAAACTGCTCTCACCCATACCTCCGCTGTTCCCTACATTAACAACAACGGGAGAAAAGCTAACAGTTATGAAGAGGATTTTGACAGTACTAATATCACAAAAGGCAACAGCAAGACCATCTGTTTCCTTCAGGGAGAACGTATTGCAGTCATCACGCAGTAGTTCTCAAACTTGCACCTAACCTGTCACTTGCATGCACTTTGACAAGGCTCACAGAGATGCTATCACCATTGAAGCCTGTATTTATAAGGAGTACTCCACCACAGTGACTGAGCTGCAGGTGCCAAACTGTGCCTTCTCCACTGTAATTACAAATAAAAGTCTAATAAACCACTTCTGAGTATCAAAAAAATACACTGTTTTCCAAGGATACATA